CGTTCCAAGCGCACCGCTCCACAAACTCGAGTGCTTACGGAGCATCTCGAGCACGTGGCCACGGAGCTTGTCATCATCGATGTATGACAGGTCGATCTCTTTTTCCCAATCCATCGGTGGATTTTCGGGAGCCTTTTGCTGGGGGAGTACAGTACCCCTCGCCGTCGGTTGGCCTAAAGGTGACCGTTCGACCGGGTCGACCCCCCTGCCCCCGACGGTGGTCTTATCGTCGGAGTTGGATCGGCCAACTCCTACCCCACCGACTTGATCGGTCAAGTCGGTCAGGTGTAGCGCGTGCGCGATCCCCTCGGCGACCTTACGTTCGGGAGTGAGGATCGCGAGGGGGTTGCGCTTCGCGTATCCCACGACGGTGTGCTTCGGAAGCCTCCTTTCTCGTCGTGAGAAATTCGCGACGATGACGTCGAAGGTCTGATTCGGTAGGACCTCCGCGACGCCATTCGTCAGCCTCACTCCATGTCATTGTTGGAGTGAGGGCTTGGGTTCCAGGAACACGAGGCCCCTCCCCGCGGTTGTCACACGCACGCGGGCTTGTGACATCGCGGGGATGGTAACCCAGCGGGCGATTCGGATCGCTTGCGGGGCCTCCTCGCGTTCGTCTGGCCGACCCGTGTGTCGCCCGTGTCGCCTGGTAGGGGGAGTCGACTCCCCCTTTCCGTCAACGATGGTGACGGAACCGCCTTGGCGTAGCTCCATTCGTTGAGCTTCGATGTCGATACATCGCACGTGCGTATCGATGAAGGCCGTGCCGAGAAGGACCGGCACGGCGAGCTGGTCCGCGACTACGAACGGAATTCGGAACACCGTGTTCCTCAACCGCACCGCCAGGCGGACGACGGCCGAAAGCTTGAGGGGGTTGCTATTCGCGCCTGCCAATCCTGGCAGAGGTGCGTCGTGCACGACGTAACGCGTCCAATCGGGGGGAAGGTCGGCCTTCCTCACCAGATTATACCCCGAGCACGTATCAACAGCGATCGTGCGGGGTTTAAATGCATTTCCCTCGGTGGCTATCGAGCCGAGGACGTTGTAGATCTTCGACGTCATAAGGCAAATGACGCCGTCGACAACCTTCGGGGCGACCTTATCGGTGAGGTCGTTCCGTCGGGGCCTTCGGTTTCGGTGCTGGCCCCGCTTGCGTTTCCTTCTCCCCCTTCCTTGGGGCGTCCGCGGATCAGTGACGCCCCTCGGATTACTCGAGTCCGTACGACACGGACCTCTCTCCGGCGACCTTGGGCTCGCGGGAGTCAGGGGGTCGACCGAATCTTTTCGGTCGTCGTTGCCCCCGTCGCCATCGTTACGCCTCACCGGGACGTCGGCTGTCCCGGTGTCTTGTTCTCCTGACGTCGGGCCTTCGGAGGCCTCGACATGCGCTCCCTCCTGTATCGGCATTACAGGAGCTCCCGTGCTCGCCTCCGGTAGCGGGGGATGTATTATCGGACAATACCCCCCGTGTCCTTGGCGAGCACGCGGGGTCGGGTCTAGTTCGTGGGGAGAAGACGGCTCACGCGACCGCGTGTACGTAACCGTCTTTACCCTTTTTTCGAACTACCCGTGCTATCGGAGCTAACCTCCTGGCTATCGACGGCCAGGTCCTCTTCCGGTATCCGGTCGCGTGGGTCGGGACGATTCCCCCACTGCGGCTCGGCGGCCTTGGCGAAGTACTCCGGTACTTCCGGGCCTTGACCTGCGGCGTCCGGTCGTCGCAGGATATGGGGGACGAAGCGAGTCGGCTCTCCTTCGTGACCCTCCGTGGGTAGAGGGTACGGATCCTCTACCCAGTCTTGCAGGTACATTATCGCATTTTGTACCTGCTGGGGTAACCGAGAACGGTCTCGATCCCCTCTCTCTCCTTGGCGCGGGTACCTTGTGTCCGCCTGGCGATAGGCGGGTCGATCCCGACGATCGACTTCGTTACGACGGTACCCGCCTCCACGGGGGGCGAAGCGTGCGCCCCCACCCGTTCGGTTCGGGAAACCTTGACGCGGGGGACGGCCCTCGCCCACCGCTTGCCGGAGGAGATTACGCGCACCGGGGCGCGTCTCCATCTGGTAGCGGTAGTTCCTGTACGCCGTGAACATCCGTTGTTCCGGCGACAGGAACGGGCACGCGTACATGGCATGCCTGTACGTACGGCATAGCCAGCACACGTACGCGCTGCCGTCCGTTGAGGCGAAGGTCGCCGCGTGCCGCGCCTCCTCATCGGTGAGGAGGGGCACGCGAGGCGCTTCGCCTCCTGCATCTCGGCTCGATATGTCGAGCTCTGCGACCCGGGGGTCCGTACCCCTTGCCACTCTTGGAGTGGTCGCGAATGCGGTCGCGTAACTCGATGTCGTTCCGGTCGACATCGGTGAGGGGGTTCGTGCCCCCACGGGCCCTGCTCCTTGCGTAATGAGGACAGGGTCGGCCTGCCACTCATTCTCCCCGATATGGAGGGTCGAGGCGGGCGAACTTGTCGCGGCGGACTTCGTAGTCCTGCCAGCCTTCCCTGCCGGTTTCGAATCCGGCAGAGGTAAACCGCGCCGAGCGCGGTACGTTGTACCTTCCGCCGTGGCGATACGGCGGATGGTCGGAAGATCGGTCTTTTGACTGCCTGGCAGCCTTTGCACAGTTTCGGATACTGCGGCACGAGTTGCCGGTGCAAGTCCCCGCACGAAGTAGTGCGCGAGGGACTGTTCGGAGAAGACTGCCGTGCATCGGAACGCAGCAGTCTCGAGTCGGTCAGCAAACGTGCTTTCCGTCTCATGTGATTGCTGTCGCGCCGTAGCGACAGCGTCGTACGCTTCACCTAACACGTCGTCCGTGAGGTAGCGTTTCAAGAATTGATTCACGAGCCCCGGCCAGCTCACGTCGTCGTGGAGCTGGCCGGCGCGGAGGCCACGCATCGTATAACTCGTATACAGGCGCTCCGCGTCGCGCTCGAGGAAGTGCGCGAGGACTCGTACCGCAACACCTTCGGTCAGGTGTTGCGAGTTGAAGGTGATTCGGATATCCTTCAAGAACGGCAGCAGCTGGATCGGGTCGGTACCGTCGAAGCTGCGCATCGTGGGACGGATCCCCCGACAGCGTTGGACGTACTTCGCGATCCGTCCCGCGTCACCCGAGGTAACGAGCCTCGAGGTGTTATCCAGGCGGTACATACGATAGTCAGCAACGGCGCTGAACTCTTGGATCATCGTATGTACCGGCTCGAGCCCGGGTTCAGCGGGACCCAGCGTGCCGAAGGAGGTAACCGGTAGCGTACGGACGTCTACCGGACCTGGATGCTCGGCGTAACTCGCCGGCGGGTAGCCGCCCCAGCGGGGATCAACGGAGAACATCGGTTCTCCGGATCCGCGGGCGGCTCCTCCACGGTCCTTTTCGTCCGCGTACGATACGCGGTCCACTTGCCGCCTACTTCCGGCGATAGGCGGCAAGGCTTGGGTCTCAGACGCGAAGTTCGCGTCTATCGGAGGACGGCTTCCTTCTGCAGTCCGACTGGTAGCGGCACCAGTCGGACGCCAACCCTCGGGGGCGGCGGCGCTCGGAGGTACGGTACCACCGGGCCCTCTCGAGGGGGCACCGGGTAGCCTTTCGGCCATGGTACGTTCCATGTCACGAGCACGCCGACGAGTGGCGTCGAGCTCAGCGGAGAGGTTCGCGAACGCACCCAATTGCTCTGCGGACGGAGAGGTTCGGTCCTCGGGTCGTCTCACCGAGGTCGGCCTCTCAGGACGACCTTGCCCGGACGGTCCGGGCGAGGCGAAACGGGAGTCTTCGACGAGCACGATCCGCGAGTGTAACTCGTCGATCAGTGCTCGGAGATTCTCTAAGGACTGCGTCGCTCTATCGAACCTCCCTTCACGCAGGGAGCGGAGTTCGGCCATGCATCGAGTGTATACATGGTCCGATACATCGATCCGAAGGGAAGTACGGACTTCCTCGATGTATTCGGCTATGCGTTCGAACATCGCCGCCGCTCTTTCCTCGGAGGATCCGAGCGACGGTTCGCGGTCACGAGGACCTGCGTCGCCGTCGCCCGACGGGGCGGATGGGGACTGCACAGCGGCCGGACTCAGATCCGCCGCTTCGGAGCGGATCGAGGGCTCAAACTCTTGGCTCATCTCGACGCGATCGGTTCGCGGAGGGAAGCGGAAGTCTTCTCGGAGATCGGACTCCAGGGTCTTCTAGGTCGGGAGACCACTGTAGCATAAACACCCCCAACGGAGAGGGGTGTATGCACAGCTCGACGTAGACCCCGTCCGAACGGGAAGACGGGGGTGAAGCGGGACACCAGCTAACGGCACCGGGCAGCGGGCCCGGGTAGCGTGGTAGAGCGGGAACGGGGAGGACGCCAGTACGCGCGAGCGGTTCGACGCCTCGACGCCCCGGCGCGGTACTGGGTGACGATCCAGTACCGACGGGCGGAGGCGGAGCCGGCTCGTGGGCGTACCGCGCGCGTCCTCAACCCGCGCTCGGTGCCGCTCTAAGGTAGTTAGCGAACGCTACCTTAGAATAAGCGGGAAGTCGGACCTTGACGGTCGGTGGGTGACAAGTCCGTGCTTGTCCTCCTCCACCGCCGCCGGTCCGCTCCATATTTAATGTACATAATAACCTATCATAATAGTACAGTACCGATGTACTGTAGCGGTCGGTCGACACTGTAATACTGTCAGCCATCGAGGCTGACAGTACACGTGTGTGTGTGCGCTCTTCGGTCCCGCGCGTACACGTGTACACGTGCGCCCCCTGAACTCGGGGTTACACGTGGTGGTACTGTAGAGCATCGAGCTCTACAGTAACCGATCCGATTCTGAGTTGATCTAATCTAAAATAAAGCCCCAGGGGGGGGGTTATACTACAGGCGGCACGCTCCAAGGTGGGAATGCCGGGGGCAGCAAGCAGAAATACATACAGGTTGTCGAGGGGGCAAGGGGTTGCTGTAGCACGGCGTACGATTGCACCTCACTCTCACAATCGACGAAAAGTCTTGCCCTGCACTGCAGATGGATCACACACAAGAACGAACTGATATGGATTTTTATACATTCGACATTGTCACGGTCGTGTGCCTGCCGCTAACGATAAATATATACACAACATGATTGGGGTGAGGACACACGAAAAACGCCCCTTCTACATAACCACGACAATGCCGGAGCGCTTCCCGGCGCTGTCCAACTGCAGACTCCCGATGGTTCTCACGGCCGCGACAACAATCATGGCGAGCCTCCTAAACGACCTAAAATTACTACTCAAGATGGGTTTCAAGTGCTTCCGAAACGCGCCTCCACCGACTTGAAGCGCGAGGTGGTTCGGCTTGGCATCGAACAGGCCGTGCTCCAGCGCTGCGCGCGCCGTGAGTCTCCTCGTGGGGTCCGGGTGGAGCAGGCCGGCCAGCAGGCTCAGCAGCAGTGCGGGGGTGCGCTGGCGCTCCTCGTCGGTGAGCAGGACGTCCACGCTGGGGCGCCTCTGGCTGGATACCGTGCGCATGCAGCCTATCTGCGTGTTGCGGTCCTCGGAGCAGTTTGACCACGGCACGCGCCGGAAGAGTAGGGACGCCGTGCGCTTCTTGCAAAGCAAAACCAAAGTACCCTGCTTTGTGCTTGGTGTGTGGTGATTTGTTTTGCGCAGATAAAAGCCAGTCAAGCCAACACTGGCTTGAAGCACATCGGAAGATTTGTGGTGCAGGCATTGGGGTTTTTCTGGTCCTAAAGGTAACGAAAGTGCAAATTATTCGCAACAAGAGAGCCTCTTTATGGGGTTCACCTAATATGACGAGCATGGAGAAGAAGACTGAACGCCGCTAAACTGCTCTTTGGTGTCCATAGGCTGAGGATTATTAGTAATTCGCCTTCGTTTTCTCGGACGGCGCGCCAGCGAGAGCCCCTTGTTAGGTGGTTTTCCAGACATGTGGCATGCGCTGCTCGACACAATCCCCGACTTCGAAAACGACCGCAGAAGCTCCCCTACCTCGCCATCGTGAGAAACAGCCATGCGAATGCCGGACACATTCCACACCTCCGACGGGAGGTGCCCCGAAGCGGAGGCGAGCTGAGCAACCTTGAACAAAGACAATCGTATGCGATCCGCCTGCTCAGTCGGTATCGCGGCGAGCCCCTCATCCGCAAGCACAGCCGGAATGATAGCGGCAAGTCTCTTACCAACAACGGGCGGGACGACGCAGACGGTGGCTGCATCGAAGGCCCGCTCCAAGACGACGAGCGACGCGACTGCGACGTCTGCGCCGCAGCGCGCAGTGAGGAGGACATGGCTGGCGGCAAAGGCCAATACGGCCGATCGGGCGGAGGCGCCAATCTTGACCCACGGGCAAATGACTGGGGCCGCGGGCGAGGCGTTTAAAGCGAGCGGCTGGCTGTTGGGCTGGCTCTCTGGGGGCGACCCCGAGTGGGGATGCAGGAAGGGGAATGCTCTGTGGGACGGGACGAAGGCGGCGAGCAGGCGCAAGGCGGCCTCGAGCGAGCGCGGGGAGACGGGGATGGGTGCGATCTTGATGGCGTCAAGGGCAGAGATCTCCGTCTCAGCGGAAGCGTGGGTGCGGGCGGCGTCGAAGAAGGTCGGGAGGAAATCGGTGAGCGGGGTGGGCAACTCATGCTAGACAGAGAAAGGCAGAGTTAATACCCTGTACTGTAGTGTGTATCCGACCGACCAAGCTTATCATACCTCAACAGATCCGACAAATTTAATAATTTTGCATCATTTAGCCGACACGAATTCTTCTGAAAGAATACTTCAAGACAGCCATATCGCACTTGAACGGCGGGGTTGTCAATGAAATACCTTGTAAATCACGAAGAAGCCCTTTTCAATTTCGTACTACAACGAAAAACTGCTTACAGTGAATATTTCCAGGTTCTGCTTCACTTTTAGAGGTAGAACTTGTCTCCACAACAAACGATTTATGCTGATTGTGTCAAGGGCTATGTAGAGTACCCAGTAGTCAAATCAGAACTAAAAAACAAGCAAGGAGTTCGAAGGAAAATCCCTTTGTCCTCAAATTTTGTCCTCACGGTCGGATAGACACTAGCAGACCGCCACTTGTAATGTAATTATTTGGTGTGCAAGATCTAAACCGCCAGGCCTGGGGACCCCTGCGCACTGTTCCTTCAACAACATCCTACACTCTCACTTCTTCCAACACCATAATACACACGAAAATATCGAACGACAGCACCACCGTTCCTCATATGTCAGGTCGAAGAAAGAGAAGTCGTACGATGGGCACTACTTGGATGGAAAACGTCCCTAACTTGCCAGACCTGGCAGCCCTGTTCCATGACGTTCATACATGACCAGGATGCGATCTCGGTGGGGATGAAGATGCGGCCGCACTTATGGAAGCAGAAGAAACCCCAGCTCTCGAGCTTCCGGAAACTGGCGAAGCGGCTGATATTTTGGGAGTGTTGAATGGGCACGCTTCGTCGAACAATCAGACTGGAGATCATGGTACTAGATCGAAGATAAAGGGCTCGGAACATCGAGAAACGGTTGTCGTCGAAGAAGGAATAGATCTTGTCGACTATGATGAGGGCCACTTCTCAGAACTTGGCGACTCGGAACAATTCGCTCCCGAGAGCGATCCAAACGGTGTTTTAGTGGGAAATGACAATATCATTATTCCAAGTATTTATCAAGAGAGCTGTGAGGGGATGGAGTGCCTTCCGAGTTTATCAAGTGACGATCCCGAAATGGGAAGCAGGCTGGACAGCCAGAAAGTTTTGCGAATATTTCTATCGCCTCGGAAGCTTTTCGAACCATGGTACAACCTTTTGGGCTTCGTAATAGTTTGCGGTAGCGTCCGCTATACGGTCAAACAGTATAACCTCCTGAGAGATATACTGTCTTGCGTTTCTCCTTCTATTAAGTTCCCATCTTATTCCACCGTACAGAGGACTCTCTTTCCGCATGCTTTGAAGTATCTTTTTCCCAAGAGTGACCTCAAGTACTTTGTCGTCCGACGAAAGAAGAAGGCATTCAACCGAACATCATTGGTTGAAAATTTGGGGGGTACCGAGGAGACCGCATCGCAATATTCGAACGGGTCTAAAACTCCTGTTCGTATCGTTCCACCAAGTGAATGGGCGAAAGTGGACATCATGATGGCTCCGTTCTTCAACTCAATGTATCCGAAATCCAGTCGATGGCATGGTGGTGTGGCGGACGCAGAATGCATAGAAAGCTCGAAGCTGGTTGCAGAGCGGCAGATAATATCGGAAGCTACGACAGCACTTTACGTCCACAGTGGTTCATGTACTGTGCAGGCGTTCCCGGGTGCCGTGATTCGACTGGAACTGTCAGAACTGCTTCCATCACGTTTGTCACCTGACGTGCGCAAGCTGGGCTATCGTGTTCATGAGAACGCAGAGAATAACTTTGTAATGAAGTGTATAATTTCAGCCGTGTGGTGCGTGGGAAGTGAGGGAAATGTTACAAGAAGCGCCAACATGGCGATGAAGGTTCTCCGTGGCGTGGAGAATTGCCTGGCCAGGCAGTTTTGTACAGCACCGCCATTGGAAAAGTATAATAGATCTGTGAGGCGTAGAGATGGAGGGATAGATTTTGAAGCAAGGGCTCGTTCTTCGAAGAAGGTGTTGCCTGGGGATATTTGTACCCTCCTTCGACCTACAGAATGTGAAGTAGTGGCAACGTCGAGAATATGTATGTTGGTTTCTAGGTTTTGGAAACACAAGGAAGGTCTCAGCTCAGACACTTTGTTTTGGTTTCAAAACATGAGTACAAACGGGGCCGGTCAGCGTTTCAATGATGGTGGCGATGGAACTCCAGACAAACCCTTTCGTCTGCTCGGTACTCAACATTTGAAAGGGCTGCCTTTCCTCCTCCAAGAGCCCAAAATATCGGGATGCACCCGCAACATTGACAGAAGAATGCAAAACAGCGGCCGCTTAATGGATGGAACGAAGTTCGTGGTCTATCGCGCTCTCCTATACTGCGATGACTTTTCCCCATTCTCTTCATTGTATCCGCAGGGTTCAGCAGGTGGATGCTACATGATCCCGCTTGGACTACCACCGCGAAGTCGTAACACGCGATCGTCTGTCAGAATCATTGGATTAACTCCTCCAGGTGTATCAACGAACAATATACTGCTCTCAATCATTCCAGACTTGGTTAAGTGTACAACAGAAGGTGTGGAAGCACACACGCCTACCGGCGAGAGAGTAAGAATCTTTGTCGACGTGGTGGGTTTTGTGGCTGACTATCCAGCGGCCGCTGAAACATTGGATGTTATGGGACATACAGCAAATACGCCCTGCACTCTTTGTACATTTCGGAAGAACACCGGCGTCGGTTAGAGCGGATACGGCTATACGACAAAAGTCCATGCACACCGCACGGCGTCCTTGAGGTGCATGGAACGCCATGAAGCTCTTCGCAACAGCGAAATTGACAGTCGAGACAAAAACCGGCTTGGTATGAAAGACAGCAACAAGGTTAGTGACGAAAGTTCTCCTCTTCTTGCATTGCAAAGGGAACTTGAGCGTGTACGCGTTGACATACCGTTAACAAGCGATGGAAAGCGTGTGGTGTCAGGACGTTTTGAGGCATATCGCTGCAACGTCGTCGCGCCTGACCATTTGCTGGCCGGTCTCGCGAAGAACGTTATCGAGGTAGGCTTCCACGTCATTAACCGACAAGGAAACGCGGCCGGGTTCAGGGCAAAAGCTGACATGGCAATATGCGGAGCCCTCCGAGACAATGGGTTGAAGAGGCAATCATCAGTTTTTAGTTCCAAGAATGAACTCAATTCCATGACTCTGTCAGGTGTGTTCTGTGTCCTTCTCGTGTGCGTTCCGGTTTTCTACCAACTGTTCCCGGGGATCCAGAGTGAAGAAACCACTGTTGTGTTGGATCTATTGACGCAATTGCAGGAATTGATTGCGTTGACGTACTGGTGGCCATCGGAAGAGGCGGATGGTGTCTCAGATTATTTGTATGTGACAAGTGATAATGGAGCTCAATACCATGCAGACTTGCTGGAAAGGGCTGAGAAACATGTGACTGAGGCAGACAAGTTTTGCGCAAATTATTGCCAAGGAGTGGGTAAAGATCGCCCCAGCTCGGACAAGCCGAACCTGCACAGGTTAATCGAGTTGTACAACCACACAATTCCTGCCTTCGGGCATGTACGTCACTTTATGGAACTGGTGTTCGAGAATGCTCATCAACCTTTGAAGAGGTGCATAGTCCGGGGTAATCACCAAAAAGGACATTTGGCGGCCGTGGGTCATTGTTTGGGGAATGATTGGCAAGGGCGGTTGGCGTTGCTGTCCAGCACTATGACACAAACTTCGGATGCCGGACTGAAGATGGAATGCAGGAGAGGCCTTCGACGCTTGCTTCTCGGCGAAGCTTGCAACGAGTTGTCACAGGCTTCGGATGAATTGAAGGGATTCCTGAAGGACACAGATGTTACTATATCTGATTTATTGTCAAACCGTTGATGGACGAGA